AAGTGCACAAAAGTCTTCATTCTAATTTTATTGTTCAATATTATTTTTTTATTTAATTTTATTAATGCCATTAATATTAATTTAGACAAAATGATAATATTAAATTTTTAAAAATTAGAAGATCAAATTGAATATTTTAAAAATATGGTGATTAAATAAAATAATATAAATAAAAATGACAAAAATATTTTTAATCTAAATTAATTTAGTGGATGATACATGAAGAATTTGTTTAAAACAAGTTGATAAATTTTTTTTTTTATAAACTTCTCTATTAAAAAATATGATATATTTTTAATATATTTTTTTAAATACTTATAACTTATATCCAAATAAACAAAATAAGCTAATTTGGCAAGGAACTCATATCAAATAAGCTACCCATATCATTCACATTACAAAGAGCTCAATAATATGCGCATATATTAAAACTCTTTTTGACATACACTTGTTTCTAAATTAAAGAAGTTGTCTAAATTTTTATTTTTTTGACTCATTCTACTCAAAGTTCTAGATGTTTTCAGAATGATAATTTTTTCTAAGTGAATAAATTTTTGGTGCAGTTCCTTATTCTTACTGGGTCAGGAAGCACAGCCATAACACTAACATGGGCACTCTCCTTACTCCTAAACCATGGAAAGGTCCTAAAGAAAGCCCAAGAAGAATTGGATAAGCATGTAGGAAAAGAAAGATGGGTGGAAGAATCAGACATAAAAAAGCTAAGTTATCTTGATGCCATAATCAAAGAGACCCTACGTTTGTACCCACCAGCCCCCTTAACCGGAATTAGGGAAGTGATGGAGGATTGTTGTGTGGCAGGGTACCATGTGTCAAAGGGAACACGTTTGCTTATTAACCTATGGAACTTGCAAAGGGACCCACAAGTATGGCCCAATCCTAATGAATTTGAACCAGAGAGGTTCCTCACCACTCATCAAGACATGGAGTTTATGAGTCAAAACTTTGAGTTAATCCCATTTAGCTTTGGAAGAAGGTCATGCCCTGGAATGACATTTGGGTTGCAAGTGTTGCACTTGACTCTGGCTCGCTTGCTTCAAGGCTTTCACATGTGCACTAAGGATGCTCTTCAGGTTGATATGACTGAAGGCTTAGGACTCGCCTTGCCTAAGGAACATGCCCTTCAACTTATCCTCAAACCACGTCTTCCACTCCACCTCTATGAAACCCTTTAAATAACGTCTCTACCAACTATCACTACTATTTTATTTCTGTTATTTAAGATATTCGAGCTACCCCTAAATAATGACGTTCGAGTTTGGGTTGTCTGTCTAGCTATACTAGTAGCTAGTTTATGTAATTTAGGGACAACAATCAGTAGTATTTGAATATTAAATAAAGGATATCATATGTTTGAAATTCTGTATAATTATTTTTATCTTTTTTTTTAAATCCTTTTTCACGCATGCAATTCTCAAAAATATTTTATCAAAATTCTAAACACCAATTTTGTTCCATTAATCTTCTCACTATTTTCTCTCTCAAAGTTTTCAAGTCAATAATTTAATAATAAAAATATTTTACAAACCAGATTTAAATTTCAACAATATATACAAGAAAGAATAAAAAATACAAAAATATGGAAGTCAAATGTAACACCTCAATTTTCATACTTTTATGGAGGGTAATTTAGTAATTTTCATGTGATTTTAGTAGCCTAAAACGGACCGTTCCCAAATTAGAACGGGCCGTTTCAAGTTACTAAAAAAACTTATAAATTCTAGCCCAGAACAGATCGTTCCCAAACTAGAACGGGCAGTTACAAGCTACTAAAAAGACTTATAAATTCTAGTCCAAAACGGGCCGTTCCAACCCACCAAAAGACCTATGACTTCTAGCCCAGAACGGGTGGTTCTCAAACTGGAATGGGTCGTTCTAGATATGGTCGTTGTGAGTAAAGATGCAACCCCAGAACGGGCCATTCTGGTCACTCCTGAAAGTCTATAAATAGCAATGCCTTGACTTTCCCAAAGGACAGACACATCTCCACTTTGGACTTCTTCTTTTTCTACACTCTCTGAAGACCAGAGAGAACCCAGAGGAAGAGACTAGCAAATTACCACTTCTTGAGCGAAGAATAGTGAGTATATTGAACTCACTTCTTTTTATTATTTTTTTTCTTTTTATATTAATAATATTTGTCATTTTAAAAAAGATTATTTATCATCTTAAAGTCCTTATTTAAATTTGAAGTATGATTAAATATCAAAAAGTTGTACGCATGTGAATGAACGCATTCCATGAACAATAATTTTGATGACGACCATAAATAATATTCATTTTCTAGAATGTGTTTGGCTCTGTCTTTTTATAAATCGTTGTATGGATATATTTTAATGGACAAACGGACTTAATTAAAAATAAATTTGTCCATAATTTGTTCATGAATAATTAACTTTTTAAGAGTTATGTAATAAGAAATTATGAATAAATACTTACAATTTAATAAATTTTTATATTTAGATATATATTTTAATAAATATTTTTCAATTTATTTTTTATATCATGATATTGACATGAATATCTATTAGTTTCGTCAAAAACTAGTCTCTCTCAAAATTTTAACTATAATAAGATTATTTCGTACAAGCAAACAAGTTAAGCTTGTTATATTTAACCTTTGTAGATCTTGCATATGTAAGAGTTAGTGTGTCCCAAATTTATTTGTTACTCTTGTTATCAACTAAACTCAAGAAGACTCATAGAAACATATATTTATATATGTGATTATCAATAGTTACATATTAATAAATTTTTAAAACACTACACTACACATAATTACAAATAACAAATGAAACAATAATTACATATTAACATTGTATTATTGTCTATACAAGACAATTATTTTAAGAATTAAATTGATAAACAGATGAATTGAAATAGAGAATTAAATTGTTTCTTTGGCAGGTGGGTCAGGATGACTAGGAGGCTCTTGGCAAGACACTTGTCCTAGGTGCAGATCAGGGATAGAGGAGTGTTCCTTTGAAATTAAATTTTACATCCAAATCCAATAGCATAGGAGGAATGAACTCAAACAGATGCTACAAAGCAATCCCGAAGCCCAGAACAGAGCAGCGATCTATACCATGTTTCTCTTTTGTACTCATCTTACTTGATAGTTGATATTGCCCATAAATTGTTTCTTTAATGAAAACGAGTTAATATTTTATTTTCATTCTAATAAAGATTTATTCAACAATTTCTTAAATTCAAGATTAATACATTAATGAGTCTGTTTGTTTTAAAAAAATTAAAATAATATTATTTTTATAAAATAAGTACTTTTTACTTTATTTTTTAATGTGTTTGTTTAATTTTTTTTTAAAATAAACAATTTTCTAATTTTTTTAAAAAAATACTTATTTAAAAAATGTAAACAATGGGACGTAGTATCTTTACGATATAAGGGGCAAAGTGCGTGGTTCCTCGAGTGAAAACCAGCATAAAAAGTCAAGAAGTCATTGAAATATGCAACCTCTTTTTTAGGAGTTGCTACGGTACTCTCAAAGATTAAGGAGTTTCAATACATTCTTCTATGTAAACTCATAAAAGATCTAAAAAAAACTAATTTAATTATAAAATGAATAATCCAAATTATCTTTATAAAATGAAAAGTAAGATAAAATTATAAAAATTAAAATTACAAGATTTCAATAATGTTATAAAACATTAAAAAGAAAAGAATTAATAAATAGTAAAAATAAAAAATTATAAAAATTATAATATAGAAATTCAAAAATCTAAGATAAAAAGATAAAAATATACTTAAAAAATTATTAAAATTAAAATATAAAAATTTTAATGAAAAGAAAAAAATATACTTAAAAAAATTATTAAAATTAAACTATTTAAATATATAATCATATTATTTCAAATAAAATTAGAATATATAAAATAAAAATTAGTTAAGGGTATGATTATCTATTATTTTTTAGACAAAATCAGTTACAAGATGACGTATATTTCCCTTTATCTATTACTATAGATAATCAAACAACTATATATTTAACTATTTTTCTTATACCCTCTCAAATCACATAAGTACCATAAAATTTCTCCTCTTTTTTTCCATCCATTTCCAAACGCAATCACCCTCATTGGTTTCAAGCATCCGAGTAAAAGTCAATGACTAAGCTGAGTGCCATTTTATGTCGTTTTCATCTCCTACTTTCCCATTATTGTTATAATTTAATTAGATTGTCATGTCCCCATAAAATTCTTTTATTCGTCACCTAATTATAAAATATTATATAGAATTAGGTACGGTTTTAATTTTTATAATATGAATACTTGATAAAGAATATATTTTTCTAAAATTAAAAATTATTATTTTTAATCATATTATTATATAAAACTTATTATATATTGAGTAGAAGATCAAACGACAACTTAAATAGTGCTTATTAATATTTATAATACTATACTGGTCTGTGATACTTATAAAATTTGTCTATATTAAATTGAACATTGGACAACCAAATTTAATGGCTTCAAACATTATAAGAATAAAATTCGAACAAAAATAATTTACAAAGAAAAACTCAAATTTTATTTTATTTTATAGAACTTAAGAAAATAATTTTAAATTTTAAAGGAATAGAAAATAAAAAATTATATAAAAATATAAATTAAAACTCTTTTATTTTATAGGAACTAAAACATATATAAATCTATTATATATAATACGTTTATTAACTTTACACTTATCAACTTAAAAGTCATATATTAAAATGATTTTGTAATTTTTAATGTAATTTTTAAATTTTTGTTCAGAATAGAAATTAAATTAATTTTATATATACTAATCTCTTAAATTTAAGATAAAATTATTTTTAATTTTTTAAATTTAAAATTAATCTCTATAACTTTAAACAAAATTTGTTTTAATATGTCATATTTAACTGATATAAAGAACTAAAAATTTATTTATGTGTATGTATTTTAATTTATTTAAATCGGTTGTATTATTGCAATTGTAGAGTCTATCCCATTTTAACATACTAGTATGACAAAAACTAGGGGTCTTGTGGTTCATCTAATGATATCTTGAATCTCTCACTAGTTGAGATCACACACCATGGATTTCCTTTCACAACCAACAATCATAGTGATAGCCATAAGCATAGTGCTTCTCTACACCACATGGAGGAAGAAAAGCACTAGTCAGAAACTGAAGGGTCTACAACCCCCAGAACCCTCACGTGCCCTACCTTTAATAGGTCACCTCCACTTGCTAGGAAGCCAAACACCCCTTGCAAGAATCTTTGGTTCTTTGGCCGACAAACATGGCCCAATCTTCCAAATCCGTCTAGGAGCATACCCTGCCCTCGTGATTTCAAACCAAGAGGCAATAAAAGAATGTTTCACCACTAATGATAAAGTCTTGGCCTCACGCCCCAAGTCAAGCCATGGTGTTCACCTTGGCTACAATTTTGCAGGCTTTGGATTTGCCCCTTATGGAAGATATTGGATCAAGCTTAGGAAACTTACCATGCTTGAATTGCTCTCGGCTCGCCGACTCGAACTTCTGAGGCATGTCTATGAATCTGAAGTTGATACTTTGATAAGGGATCTTGGCATGTATGTTCCAGACAACACTGCTGTTAAGGTCACAATAAGTCAATGGTTGGAACGCTTAACCTTCAACATGATCACAAAGATGATTGCAGGGAAAAGGTATTATCGGAAGTACTTGTTATATCATATTAAATGGTCTATAGGGAAATTGACTTATGTATGCTAGAAAAAATTATATTCTATTTTTCTGTCTACTTTTTACTCTTATATATTACTTATATGAAGAACTTTAAGCGAACGTACCCTTAATCAAACTCACTTTACTAATTAACAATCTTAATCTTTCTGAATGTTGGGCTCTGCTATGTTTTGAACAGGTATTTCAGTTATTTGCAAGATGTGGATGATGTAGAGGCACATGGTATTGTGAAACTTATAAAGGAGTTCATGCATATATCTGGGGAGTTTGTTCCCTCGGATTTGATTCCACTTCTTGGATGGTTTGGTGTGCATGGCCAAGTGCTCAAATCTATGAAACGAATTGCAAAAGATTTGGACACACTTGTGGGAGGTTGGGTTGAGGAGCATAAGAAGAGTGATCCTCTGACCAACAAGTCATGGGAGAAACATGATTTCATTGATGTCATGCTCTCTGTTATTGAAGATGATCCTGTCTCTGGCCACACCCGTGATACTATCATCAAAGCAAATGTTATGGTAAGCATTTTATTGAGTTTATAAACTTTCCAATATGCACTTTCATTTTAGTCTTCTGTTTATATTGCTAATTATTTAAGTCATTGTTGTGACTTAAGAAACAGAGGATTTCAACTCTTTAATAAATAAAAAAAGGATTTCAACTCTAACTTCTCTCACGTAATGTAAATAACCAACTTTAATTTGAATCCCTCGTTAGTTTATTAAAAGTGAGAAAATTGGTTGATTACAGACTTTTTTTTAAAAGAAATTACACTCATATAATGTAAAACAAAGTTCACATAAATATTTATAAATATTTTAAATATCATATTATATACTAAAATAAATAATACGATGATCTTAAATTTGTATTTTATAAAATGTTATAAAAATGTAATTTTATTAACTTTAATATTCGATGTTAGTGACTATGACTCGTCTAATAATAATAACAAAATTGTCCACTAAAAGTTAATAAGAATAAAATCCCCAAAATTCAAATTTGTAATTAATAAGCGACTGAACAACTTGTTTTGTGGGGACATAATATTAGACTTTTGAAGTTACGTTGACTCAGTAAAAAGACACTGTTATGCTTAATTATAATTTATGCATTAAATCATTCTCTTTTAGTAAGACAGCTTGATCCTACTTATTCATTTTTATTTATTTTTATATAAATTCAGTTTGAATGCATAAAACTTTATCACTTGGTAGTTTTGAATTAATGCGTTAAATATTTATAAATTCAACTCAGTGACACTTAATTAGAAAAATTGAGCTAAAGGTGATAGATTTAACTATTTTATATAAAAAAAAGTTAAAATTACATTATAACGATTGTACTAAAATTAGTAAAAGCTTTCTCAAATGCTTCAAGAATATCTTTGCTTGTCCATGATATTCAAAGACCAAATGATTCTAAGGTGCAAGAATTACCTAAGAAAACATTGTACTCTTTCTTGTAATTAGTATTATTGTTGAATTGTTATATATATTATATGATTGACCAAGTAAACTTGCGTATTTAGAACCTTATGTTAGCGGGATCAGACACAACATCGACCACAATGACATGGATACTGGCGATGCTAATGAAGAATCCTGAAGCTTTGAAACGTGCACAAGAGGAGGTTGAGCATCACGTGGGTAGGGATAGAAGAGTGGAAGCACAAGACATAAAGAATTTGGTTTACTTGCAAGCAATTGTGAAGGAAACGTTGAGGTTATACCCACCAGGGCCACTTTTGGTACCCCACGAGGCTATGGAAGATTGTCACATTCAGGGCTATAGTGTGCCAAAAGGAACACGTGTGTTTGCCAATGTGTGGAAACTACATAGAGATCCAAGGCTTTGGTCAGAGGCAGAGAAGTTTTCACCCGAGAGGTTTATGAATGAGAATGGAGAAGTGGATGAAGGGCACAATTTTGAGTATTTGCCTTTTGGGTCGGGGAGAAGAGCTTGCCCTGGATCCACTTTTGCCACACAAGTGAGCCTCGTGACACTTGCTCGTTTGCTTCAAGCCTTTGATTTGGCTGAGCCAGTGGATGAACCTGTTGACTTGAAAGAAGGGTTGGGCATCACCTTGCCCAAGATGACTCCATTGAAAATTCTTATCACCCCGCGATTACCACGTCAATTTTATCATTGAAAAGTGTTAGAATGCAAAAAAAGTCTCACATCATTCAAATAAAAGAATGAACATAAGTTTATATATACGTAATTATCTTAATTTGTAGAAAAACTTTTTGAGTGGTATCCAAAAATAAAATAGTGAGAGCTTGATCCAAAACTTATAGGTTATTTATATTATTTTTTAAAATATAAAATGTTTATATATTTTTATATCATCTCGTTGACATCCATCATAATACATGTATTAAATGATGTTTTAATTATATTGACACTCATTTTTTTATATAAGTGTAACAATTAAAAAATATTCTAACATGCATATTTAATGTGCGGTATATTGTGTCTAATAATGTAATCATATTAAGTTTTAGGGGGTGTATTGGATTAGGATTTTAAAGGACTTTTTCTGCAAAGGTTCAATGAGGTTGCTTTGAGGATAGCATCCTTGGATGAAAGGATGGCGATCATCGCGTTCCAGAAGGGTCTAAGATCTGGTGCCTTCGACATCGCACTAGAGAGAGCGAATTGCCAAACAATATCGGAGGTGAGAGCTTTCGCCCTGAGTCACATCAAGACGGAGGAAGGACAAATCAATAGAAGGGTGACAGAAAGCCGAGAAGTAGGGGGCAGTAATAAGGAAGACAATAAACACCTCCGGGTACGCTCGGATTGGAGTAAGCGACATGATCGCTACAACATGAAGGAAGGAAATCACAGACAGGCAGATTATGGTTGTCAGACGAGAGGCGAGTGGACGCGAAACAATGAGCAGGAAAAGTTCACTCCACTCAACGTTCCTAAGAGGCAAATACTCCATGACGTCAACAATGCATCACTCTTTGAGTTCCCAACAGCGACTAATCGTCAATTGGGTCCTTTCAAAATCGACTGGTGCGAGTTTCATAGGACTTATGGGCACACTACAAAGAACTGTTTCGTTCTAGGAAGGTAAATTGAGCGTCTTATCAAGGAGGGACATTTAAAGAAGTTTGTGGAAAGAAAGCATGACGAAGGCTCGTTTGACAGATGACGTAGACATGAAGGAGAGGACACGAAAGGGGGTAGGCATAAAGGAAGGTCTCCTCCCAGGGACCTTCCAGAAAAAAGTTCGGAGACTCATCAACAGGCTGTCCATGGGGATTTTAACACCATAGCAGGGGGATTCGCTGGAGGAGGCCCGACGTCAGCGGTGCGGAAGAGATATTCCCGATCGGTGTTATCTGTCTTAGAATGGGCGCGACCACATCGGCCAGCCATCACGTTCTCAGACGCCGACTATAAAGGGGTGTCTCCCCACGAGGATGACCCATAGTCGTTTTCGCAATCGTCATGGGCTATAATGTGAAATGTGTGTTGGTAGACCAAGGGAGCTCGGCGGACATCATGTTCTGGGAGGCTTTCGTCGGGATGAAAATTCTGATCGATCGCCTTATGCCATATGCAGGAACTTTAGTGGGCTTTGCAAGAGATCAGGTGACGGCCAGGGGTCATTTTTTTGTGTTATATAAATGAACAAATTTAACTACATAGAATAAAATAAAGCAAGTCAATTAAAGAGAACGAACAAAAAAATAGAGCAAATCAATGACACTATTATTTACATATCAGAGTTTCACAAAATAGGGGAATGGGATGAGGAACAATACTACAATATTATATATGAGTAATGAATAATAGTGTAGTATTATTAGTAGAGAAAAAATGGAGAAGACAGGAGCATCGAAAAAAAAAAATGAAAAATTCACTTGAAAATTCTTGAAACACTTGAAAAATCACTTCAAACAATCCTTCAAAATCGGATGGGTTTGGATGTGATTGTTTTATGAATCTGGTATTTATAGATAACACTAGAAAGTCCTTCAAAATCCCTCTCACACAACAATCTTTTAAAATCCTTATATTTTTGAATACCAATGGATTGTTTTTAAGTTATAAAAAATCTCAAATGAATACCAGTGGATTTTAATGAACTCTTTAAAAAATCTTGAAAATTCAGATTGAATATCACTGGATTGTTTTTAAGTGACATAAAATCCTGATTGAATACCAATGAACTTTTTTACTCAAAAAAAGTCTTTTAAAATCTTATGAAATCCTAAACTAATACACCCCCTTAGTATGGGCCGTAGATTTAATGCTGAAACTTTTTTTTTTTTATCATTTATGGGATTTTTTTATTATCGGTGTAAGTTTAAAAAGGGAACTTTTTGCATTGTGGGACAGTTTTGCAAACTAGTAACTAGAATAAAGTTGTTTTTGAAATATATTAGATCTTTGAGACAATTTATGTATCTCTATGGTCTTTAGTGACAACTATGACATGTCATTTTTTTGAAATTTTTTAAGTTATGCAATGTCATGCAAAATCCCACGCTGAAATTACTAAAGCCAGTTATAAAAAAATGATGTCACTATCCTATGAAGTGATTTGTGGTTAATCAAAAAATAAATTTAGGTCACTATAGATTAAATACACTATTTATTATTTTTATTATTTTTTAAGTCACTGTAAGTTATAATGACTTTTTTTTAAAAAAGTTTTGGATCATGAGTTCTTTTTCTTTAATTTTTTTTTGGAGGTCGCTGATGGCCATAACGCCCGCTCT